GTGAATGTTTGGTCTAATGGCCTTCACTTTGAAACACAGACTCCAGTTTCCATGGAATTGGTGGGAGGTTCTTTCCTTCAATTTCTTCCAACTATTAAAGAAAAGAAGGATAAAGAAAAATATGTATTAAACATCTCAGGTGTGTCATGGACTGTTGTATAGCTTGATATTTCGAAGGTGATGAACACACACATTAGCAAGTTCTGAACATGTAGCCATTCTTCCTTAATTGTTGGTAGCTCTTATTTCCTGAGGGTTGGAAGGAATGAAGATAGTGAGGAAAAATTCAACTGCTCGCATAGTTTCATCACTTCACTAGTCTTGCTATATTAGGTGATAAGGGCCTGATTTCTGAAGCTGTGCTATTCCCTAAGAAGCTAAGCTCTGCTTTCTTAATTTTGCTGAAAAGGAATTTACCGTATGTCTAGATACAAGAAGTTTTGAAAATTTGATCCTTCCAGGTTCAAATACCAGAAGGCAAGTTCTGACTCAAGTCTCTCTTTCTTTCTTTCTTTTTTAAAAAATAATTATGTGGGTCTTTTGTGTTTATTTTTGAGCTCTTTATGAAAGCTGAAAAAAGGAAGAATTGAGGAGCAAAGACTATTGATGTAGTGTTATCGGAGTGTTTTGAGGTGGCAGCTTCAGTATTCCTCCAGATCCCTCCAATGGAAGTATTATTGAAATGCAGAATATTCCTGTTGTTAAATGATAAGTTGGGTAGATTTTGGATATTGTTGTTGGATGCCTGCAGAATAAAAAGGACAAGGACCCGAAAGTCATAAGACAGGCCTAATACAGTGGTGTACTGTGGTGCAGTGAGGTGTGCTGTATTTTTGACCAAAGACAAAGCAAACAAGCATACCAGATTTGGGTTGACAGAAAAGTCCCCGCCTTTGTAAATTATCATTCTGTCACCTCCTTCTATACAAAATTAGCCTTCACAAAAGGAACTGCATGGAGGTAGTGGAGCTTGTACTACAAAAATAACCCAAAACACAAGTATTAATTACAATGCACCTGCCCTGAGTAGAGTATAAGCACAGGTAGTGTTTTGTAGCGAGGCTTTGCCTTGCTGTGTTTGTAAGTGGGCTGCAATGGCCTGCCATGTCTATGCACAGAGTGACACTGAATGGAAGAGGTTCATTGTGGTCGTTCCTCAGGATGCGCTCCTCACCCAGGGTCAGTTGGATTGGAGCCCCACCAACTACTCCTTTAAAGGTGCTTTCAATCCTTCAGATAAATGATGGGAACTTTTCTATCTAGGGTTGCAGATTGTAGCAATTGTGTATTTGGTTCCTGGTGGGTCAGGGCAGAAGATCTGTTTAGAGGAGCAGGGGTGGTGTCAATAGGTGTCCAGGTTTACACTTTGTACCACTCCTTGGATTTCATTCCCCATCAAGGGAAAAGCATCAGTTAAGTTTGGAAAGAGGAAAATACAGGGTGAGCAAATAGAATCATAGAATGGTTAGGATTGGAAGGGACCTTAAAGATCATCTAGTTCCAACCCCCCTGCCATCAGCAGGGACATCTTCCACTAGATCAGTGATCTAATAAATATTTTGTCTGTTATTAAGGAGTAAATTAGTTGGGATTTGGAGTAGAAATGAGATGAAAACAAACAGAGAACAAAAGAAGGCCTATGTGAAATTCCCCTATGTTTGTGAGTATTAATGAAGGAATTTTTTTTTTCTTTTTTTCTTTTTTTTTCCCCCCTCCTCTAACAAGAGGGCTGTGAGCTCTAGGAATGGTGTCTGGCAAGACAGATTTAAAAACTACTACACCCTGCAGGGGTCTTTATTTTTGTGAAGGGCACTTATGACTTCGAGTCTTTGGGGACACGTTAGCTACTACATTGCCTCCACATTTTATTATCTTTGAAAATTTCTCACTTACTGTAGGTGAAGAGAGACTGACCTGAAATGTTATTGGGTCATTGTCAAGTATTGCTACATTTGAAAAAGGAAACTGATACAATGGCATACACTTGCACATGTGCATCTCCAGTATGAATCAGACATCCCTCTCTCCCTTTTCTTACTGGCTGTAAAATACACATTTAATCATAATTTGCGTAAGTAAGTGAAGGAATTTCTTGTTCCTATTTCTGCCCAGATTAGGACCTGAGATCAGATCTTCAAAAGTAAAGGAGGCAGCACTCAGCTACCTCAGAAAAAGGAAGTGTTTTTTCCTGCCACTGATGGGGCTGTAATACATCTTGCTGCTTTTCAACCTGGTTTTGCTATGTAGATCTGAGTTTGTGAAGCAAATGCAGTATGTGTTCTACAGATACCAGGCTACTGTTAAAATAAAAAAAATTGCACTTTAATTGGTATCTGTTAGTTCAGTGACCTTCAAAGCACTTGAAATAGCCCAGGACTAAAATAGATTTTGTTTTAAATTTTTTTGCGTCTTGACTCCCTTATTTTGAAGATAACAAGTTAGTTGAATATCTGTCTCCTCTTCTTTACGTCTACATCGCAGCCACCTGTGCAATTGGATTGTGGCGTTAAATAACTGAGGTAGTAGAAACCAACTAGGGTTGGTCGCAGTCAAGTTGTGACAACGGGCACTTCCACATGAGCAATCTACTGTGCTTTTCCAGGTGGCTCTGAAACATACAGTGAGCTCTCTTACTGCTGGCAGCACCTGAGGTAGCTCGAGCATGTCTGCATTAACTGTGAGTTTGAGTTTGGCTGCAGCAGCGGCTGCATGCTCTGCACAGCAAAGGCTACAGCAGCGGCTGCATGCTCTGCACAGCAAAGGCTGCAGCAGCCCAGAACCCCCCGAGGACCTTGATAAACTTCTTCCCCTTGGGATGAAAGTTTGACCACTGAACCTGCTGGTGCCCAGCCTTTTCAGTGGGCTTCCTCCGGGCACAGCTGCCTGATGGGCTTTTGGCCGCACTCTCCCAAGAGCAGCCACGTAGCAAAGTCAAGTCTCGTGCCTTCAGAAAGCCTTGTTTCAGAGTCAGCGTTTGCTCCCTCTTTTGCCAAAGGGGGATAAAAAAATACCTTCCCCCCCCTTCCCTCAGAGTTGTTCCCTCATTCTTCCTTTTGCCTGTCCCTCCTTCTGTTCTCACTGCCATTTTATGTTTAAGAGTATTTTATGGGGAGGGCAGTGGGGGTCAGATGTTCTAGACTTTCATTTCATTTCTTTAAGAATCCTCCTCAAGTAGATAAAACCTGTGGGATATGGTGGAGGGGGAATTTGAGGAAAATAAGCTAGTTGGGGAAAAAATCTTATTTGAGTGAAAATTACAATTCATTGAATACAATTAATGTGTCATAATTAAAAGGCTTTTCTGAAGGGAATCTGTTAAGACAGTAATTGCACTCTATAATCCTTTTTTCCCCTCACCACTGGTTACTAATATTTGGAAATTTCAAAAAATAAATTACTTGTAAATTTGTCCTCTTTGCTCAGCTTGTGAGTACTAAAATTAGTTGGTTTTATTTAGCTTTACGGTGAGTTTATTTTTGTCACACTTACTAGGAAATACTGCTGTTAAGCTAGACTGCATGTGTTTAGGGAAAATGCTTGTCTCCAAGTCATTGCTAGTCCAGTTTTATTTTAAAAGAGGAAAGTTATTAACACTGCAGTAACACTTGGTAAGCTTCTCCTTCTTAAAGGCACAAATGAAACCATTCCTAGGGATCTAAAACTGCTTGATAGCACTACTTTTTCCCTTTAATTTTTTTTTAAAGGAAAAAACCCAACAACTCAAGAACTGAGAGTCACCCCTGAACTTGAGGAGGGATCTTAAGCCTTCTTGCATTAAAGGCCAGCTCTTGCCATTTGACGGGGAACAAGTAATGGGCTCATTTTGGCAGCTGCATCTCAGATAATTCCTTGATATTTGCTTATGGATCTGCCTGCGAGAGTGGTCCACAGATGAGTGCATTGGAGCCTGGTGCTCAGGCTCACATCAAGGCCAGATGTAAGAATTTTCTCACCCACCCAGGCTCGCTCTGTTTCTTGCTTTGCTACTGTAGGAAGCTTCATACCAGAGAAGATCAGCCCTTTGGGGCTTCTACAGAAGCAAAAGGCTTACCTGCTAAGCCATCGTGTGGAAGGTTGGGTCCCGCGTGTGCCACCTTGAAAATTTGTTGTGATATTAGGGAAGAAAAAATACACTAGGTCAGCAGAAGGTAAATTTTGAAGATTGCCTTTGACAGCAGTAGTTTTGGCATAGAAAATAATATACTAGGGTGTCTGTTTCAACTGCAGGCTTTGGATCTATTTTTGAAATTGCAACTTTGAAAAATGAGGGAGGTTTTTTCTTGCTCTTTTTTCTACCTAATTGGAAACTTTACTTCTGAAATTCCGTTATGATACCTGTTGATATGGAAACCTTGACTGTCATTGTTTGCGGCATAAGAAGTTAACAATTGTAGCATCTTTTCAAGTCAGAGCACTCTATGCCAATTTGGAAGGTCTTCAGGGCAGTATTACCATGCTGCTTAAGTGTGGTATGGAGACACCTATGCTTTCATTCACTGTGCTGGCTAGTAGGTGTCTGGTATGGGTAAGAGTGAAATGAGAGACATGTCAGAAAATAATTTATCAGTCGTACAGATGCTTTTCTGTGGCTAAAGAGATTTTTATTTAATTCATCTGTTTTTCTACTTGATGACTCTCAGGTTGCAAGTAAAACAGAGGAGTCCAAAGGTGGTCACACTTTCAAAAAGTCTGAGAAGTGCTGTAGCAAGATAACATCTGATGCAGTCACAGTGCTTCAGTTTATCTGTCACAGAATAATCTTCTCATTACTTCACAGATGCAAAGTCCTTCAGGGGATAACACAAACATTTCACATGATCCGAAGTGCCAGATTTTTGCATTTGGTCTGCTGAGATAAATAATGTATGGGAAGAAAAAAAAGTTCAGAAAATTTATCAACAGCTGTAGTCATGAATGCTGGCATGTGTTACATATTCCAGCTAAAGTTAACTTTCATTTGCACTGCTGAGCCTTCAGGTTAACCTTTTCTTGGCAAGTGACCAAATACTAGTGATACTATCTGCACATTTTTGTGTAGGTTTGGAAACATTCTCCACAGCAGCTGTGCATGACATTTGCTGTTGCTGATGAGTGAACTTCCATAGTTCCAGTGGCCTGAGCACCGTCAGCTCCAGGGTGTGGGCAGCAACATGGCTGCACTTGCTGCTTTCCTTGTAGTGTGTAAAATGTTGGAGCCCTGGGCTGCTGTAAGACCTGAGGTACCATCATCACATGATGGGTTGTAACCCTTGGCCAAAGCAGAAGATAGCTTACTCCTACATAGAGGTTGATATTTTGAGGAATAGGTGGTGGGAAGCTGTGTGATGTTGCTGTGCGTAGTAGCAGACTTCATCAACTTCAGAGCATAAAAAAGTCTTTTAACTTCCTGCCCTACAAACTCAACCTGGTATCTGGAAGTAAAGCTGTGTTCCTGCATGCTTCTGTGTTCTCCTGTGTAATAAAGATTTTTATAGTGGAACTTGGTTAATGATTGTAATGATGTATGAGCCACAGGCGAAGCTAGTTCATTTCCCAGAGCTGCTGCCTCTACAGTATTAGCCAGGGTAAAGAGTAAAGTGTGCATGTTTGAGAAGCAGAGAGAGAAATAAATAAGTCCAATAGCGAGGGGAGGAACACTGCTGCTTTTCAAAAAAATATTTTTGAAAAAATAATATATTTCACTTGAGACTCAAATCTGCCTTTTAAATTGCCCTGCCAAATTTATAAGTAAAAATGTTAGAATGAATATGAATAAAAAATTGTTCTTATTTTTAATAAAACAAACACATCATTGTGACATTGCTTAACAGCTTTCTTTTTTTTTTTTTTCCCTTTTTTCCCCAGTATCAAATAGTCCTTCCTGGTATTATGGAGTGGAAAGTTGCTTTTTGTGTGTACCTTTGAACTCCCTTATAGAATTCCAAGAAATACTCATGATGACAATCAAATTCTGCTCTTTGGTAATATCCTAAATAGGTCAGGTGGAATGGGGAGCAAAAGCCTTCTGTCTGTTATATTCCCTTTATTAATTACCAGGGAAATAAAAACACTGGAGTTGGTTGTGCTCTGAGACCTGGAGCCGCCTGTGTACATTCCTGTGGCCGCTGAAGACGGCAGGGACTAGTGGGCAGCTGCCTTTCACCAGAGATGTGGCACAGCTTTTCTAGCAGGGAATACAA